GGATGGTGCAGAATATAACTAAGATGCAGATGTAGAAAATGATGGTAAGGGTGTGACATGGCCTGCATTTAGTGAACAAGAGGATGCAGATGTACATGTACATGTACAAGTTGGAAATGAAAGGGAAAATGAGTCTGCAGCAACTGAGAATGGAGAGGTTGGAAATGAAGGGGAAAATGAGGAAAATGATCCAGAATTTGTGGATAGTGATTATGAATTGAATGAACAAGAGGATGAGGTGCTTGTATATGAGAATGTGGTAGTTGGGGGGCCAAGTGGAGAGCCCAATGCAGGTGAGAATGTTGGGCCTACTATTCAGCCCAATGCAGGTGAGAATGTTGGGCCTACTATTCAGCCCAATGCAGGTGAGAATGTTGGGCCTACTATTCAGCCCAATGCAGGTGAGAATGTTGGGCCTACTGTTCAACCCAATGGACATGAGAATGTTGGGCCTACTTATGAAGCTCCAAGAGAGGTATCATCAGATGATGCTAACACATCAGATTTGGACATAGGAAGTGATGGAGAGGATCATGATGAGGGTAATGGTGAGGAAAATGGCAAAAGAAAGAAAAAAAAAATTGCCAAAGTTGAAGGAGTATATGAGAGAGGTGGATTTAAGGAATCCAGAGTTTAGGACGGGAATGCGATCTGCAAACAAAATGGTATTGAAAGAAGCTGTGGAGGAGTATGCAATTATACGTGGTAAGTCGATTAAAAAAAAAAAAAAAGACAAAATGAGGATCCAGGCAATATGTATGGGAGGACTGAAATGATCATTTTATTTATAGGCTTCAAAGATTGATAAGAGTGAATCTACATTTGTAATCAAAACTATGAGCCTAGAACACATTTGTGGGAGGGTCGACAAGTTGAAGTATGCCTCATCCAAGTGGCTTTGCTTCAGGTATTCTAAGAAGCAGAAGAGAGACACATACTTGGATGTGAAATCATTGCAAGAGGATGTTTTGAAGGATTATTGTATGAATGTCACAAGACATCAAATATACAGGGCCAAAAAGTTGGCCAAAGTAATGATTGAAGGGAGTTGCATATAACAATATCCTAGGTTAAGGGATTATGCAGAGGAATTGAAGAAGGCAAACAAGGGAAGTACTGTTGTAATTAAAATTGAACAAGTGGGGGGGTCATGCTATCTTTCTAAGGATGTATGTTTGCTTGCCTGGTTGTAGGAAAGGGTTTTTAGATGGATGCAAACCAGTTATTGGT